GGAAGCTGAGGTGATTCAGTATGTATTGTTACTATACACTTTTTTTGTAAGTTTTTTAAACACAATAAATTGAAGTTGTGAATTTTATCTGAGAGTCAAAGAAAGAGAAAAAATAAATTATAGACTCACTTGTTTCCTATCACAGGTGTAGAAACACACAGTGGTAGGAATGCAAGTAGGAGAGTTGTGCCCTGGTTACTAGGACTGGAGGCTGAGTTCTAATATTTAGGTTTCGTTTTTATACACAAGTAAAATAGAAAGGAAATGTGCTAGATAATTAACATTCCAACTTTTGATTTTTTTCAAGAAAATCAAACTCCAAATATCACTTTTTGGATTTGAAAATATGATCCATCTCTGTCCTTTCGGAAATATTTATCCATATATCTCTGAATAAATATAAATTTTATGTTTTCTTGAGCTTAGAATCTTAGCCAGACAGTGGTAGTGCATGCCTTTCATCACAGTATTCAGAGGCAGAGGTAGGTGGATCTCTGCGAGTTTGAGCACAGTTTAGTCTACAAGAGAGTTCCAGGACAACCAGGGCTGTTAGAAAGAGAAGCCCTGTCTCAAAAAACAACACAAACACACACTCACACAGGTGCCCGCACACACACTCACACACAGAGCCAGCAACAAAAAGAGAAAAGAAAAAAAAGAAGGGAAGAAAAAAGGAAGAAAGAAAGAAAGAATTGAAGAAAAAAGAAATAAAGAAAATGAAAGAGAAAGAAAGGAAAGAGAGAAAAATAGAAAGAAAAGAAAGAAAGAAAGAAAGAAAGAAGAGATTAGAATCTTTGCTCTACTTAGTTTTTACTTTCACTTTGTGTATTTTGAGTTTGAATGTTACTAGTTTCCATTGATTGTCACTGGCAGCATTTCTGTTATCTTATTCTACTAAGCCAGTTACATAAATTTAAAAAGCTCTTTACTTTAGAAAATTGCACTTTGTGTTACTATTTTGAAACATAGTTATGAAGTACATCAATTTTTCTTTTTATTTAATATTATTCACCTAAAGTATCTCTGCCAAAACAATGTTATTTATCTTGCTTACACCTAGCAATTTGTACTTTACTTGATATTTATTTATTTATTTGTGGTACTGGAAATTGAATCTAGGTCTTTGCACATGCTAATCAAGGACTCTCTGCTTAATTGGTAATTTTTCATTTTATTAAAAATAGATTTTCCCCCAACACAAGATATCCTAATTAGAATTTCTCCTCTCTCTATTCCTCTCAGTTTCTCACCACTACCACTGCCATTCAGATTCATACTTGATGCTATTTTAAATGCAGCAAACCATATCAGATTATTTTTGATCTGATGTGTTTGTTACACAGAAACTAGTTACATAGTTATCCTCAATGCAATATACATAAACAAATATGTATAAAGCACTAATTTGTATTTCTTTGCATGCTTCTGAAAAATTTTGTAGCTTTTTTGTTTTTTTTTCACAATGCATATTTTTGCTATTTATTTTTCATAAGTATGTTGTTTCTCATTGATAAATAGTTCAAATACACACTATATACTATGATATACATCACCTCTGCATCTTTCTATGTAAACACAAAATTTTAGGACTAAAAGGTATTGATTTAAAATTGCTGTTAAATTGATCATCTAATCATCTAAGAGCTTTTTTTTTAAATCCTGTTTTTTTTTGTTTGTTTGCTCGTTTTTAAGGGTTTCTGGCTGTCCTGAAATTCACATTTTTTATCCAGGCTAGCCTTGACTGTAGAGATATGCCTGTCTCTGCCTTTATATTGCTAAGATTAAAGACATGCATCACTGCCGCTACCCTCCGGCTAATTATTAATTGTCAATTGTTTCTTAAAAATCATTTGTTAATTGTTATAGATTACTTGAAATCCTTTGTAAACGTGGTCAAACTTCATCCTAGCAAATCTTTAGAAGAGCTATTCCTTTTTTTTTCTTATTTATTTATTTAAAAAATTTTCACTTCCTCCCCTCCTCCGAATACCCTCCAGCTCCCGCTCCCCTCACTCCCTCTCCTCCTCCCTCCCCATTCCCAAGAGCAGTCAGGGTTTCCTGCCCTGTGGGAAATCCAAGTCCCTCCCCCCTCCCTCCAGGTCCACTAAGGTGAGCATTCAAACAGACCAGGATCCCTAAAAGCCAGTCCATGCAAACGAATCAAGACCCAGTGCCATTGTCAATGGCTTCTCAGTCAGCCCCCATTTCAGCCATATTCAGAGAATCCCCTTTGATCACATGCTCCTTCAGTCCCAGTCCAGCTGACCTTGGTGCGCTCTCATTCGATCAGTCCCCTTGCATCAGTGGGTGAACGCACCCTTCGCAGTGCGGTCCTGACTTCCTTTTTCATGTTCTCCTTCCTTCTGCTCTTGGACCTTGGGAGCTCAGTCCAGTGCTCCAATGGGGGTCTCCGTCTCTAACTCCATCCATCATCGGATGAAGGTTCCCTCTGGTTCTGCTTTAATTGTTCACGATCTTCCTCCCTCTGCTTCTCATTTGGACCTAGGGAGTTAAGTCCAGTGTTCCAATATGTGTCTCTGTCTCTATCTCCATCTTTCGCCATATGAAGGTTCTGTGTTGACATGCAAAATATTCATCAGTATGGTTATGGGCCCAGGCCAGTTCAGGTACCCTCTCCTCTGATGCCCAGGGAACAATCTGGGGACCTCTCCTTGGGCCTAGGAACCCCTCCAGAATCAAGTCCCTTGCAAATCCTAAAATGGCTCCCTTAGTTGAAGTATAAACTTCCCTGCTCCCATAGCCATCCTTCCTCACTCCCCCGCTTCCATTCCCCCAAGCCATCCCCAATCCTCCCCCTCTCCCCTCTCCCTAACCATCTCTCCTTACTTCCACCCCACCACCACCCATGCACCCAAGTGCCTGGCAATCTTGTCCACTTCCAATATCGAGGAGGATAACTATATGATTTTCTTCAGGTTCACCTTCTTATTTAGCTTCTCTAGGATCACGAATTATAGGCTCAAAGACCTTTAACTATGGCTAGAATCCACTTATGAGTGAGTACATACCATATTCCTCTTTTTGGGTCTGGATTACCTTACTCAGTAAAGCGTTTTCTATTTCCATCCATTTGCATGCAAAATTCAAGATGTCATTGTTTTTTACCGCTGAGTAAAACTCTAATATGTGTATGTTCCACACCTTTTTTAACCATTCTTCTATTGAGGGGCACCTAGGTTGTTTCCATGTTCTGGCTATTACAAATAGTGCAGCTATGAACATAGTTGAACAAATACTTTTGTAGTATGATAGGGCATCTCTTGGGTATATTCCCAAGAGTGGAATTACTGGTTCCTGAGGGAGGCTGACTCCCAGTTTCCTGAGAAACCGCCACACTGATTTCCACAGTGGCTGCACAAGTTTGCATTCCCACCAGCAATGGATGAGTGTTCCCCTCCCTCCACATCCTCTCCAGCATAGGCTATCATTGGTGTTTTTGAGTTTAGCTATTCTGACAGGTGTAAGATGGTATCTCAAAGTGGTTTTGATTTGACAAGACCTTTAAGTCTTTGAAGAAAGAAATTGAGATGGATACCAGAAAATGGAAAGACCTCCCCTGCTCTTGGATTGGGAGAATCAACATAGTAAAAATGGCAATTCTACCAAAAGCAATCTATAGATTCAATGCAATCCCCATCAAAATCCCATCAAACTTCTTCACAGACCTTGAGAGAACAATAATCAAGTTTTTATGGCAAAACAAAAAACCCAGGATAGCCAAAACAATCATATACAATAAAGGAACTTCTGGAGGCATTGCCATCCCTGACTTCAAATTCTATTACAGAGCTACAGTATTGAAAACAGCTTGGTATTGGCATTAGAACAGAGAAGTCGATGTATGGAATCGAATAGAAGACCCAGATATTAACCCACAAACCTATGAACACCTAATTTTCGACAAGGGAGCTAAAGGAATACAATGGAAGAAGGAAAGCATCTTTACCAAATGGTGCTGGCATAACTGGATGAATTTGTAGGAGAATGAAAGTAGATCCATATCTATCACCATGCACAAAACTCAAGTCCAAATGGATTAAAGACATCAACATCAATCTGTCCACTTTGAACCTGATAGAAGAGAAAGTGGGAAGTAGTCTACAAGATATAGGCATAGGAGACCACTTCCTAAGTAGAGCCCCAGTAGCACAGACATTAAGAGAAACAATGAATAAATGGGACCCACTGAAACTGAGAAGCTTCTGTAAAGCAAAGGACACTGTCAGTAAGAGAAAAAGGCTACCTTCGGACTGGGAGAAGATCTTCACCAACCCCTCATCAGACAAAGGTCTGATCTCCAAAATATACAAAGAACTCAAGAAACTAGACACTAAAACTCTAATTAACCCAATTAAAAAATGGGGTACTGAACTGAACAGAGACTTCACAACAGATGAACTTCGAATGGCCAAAAGACACTTAAGGTCATGCTCAACCTCCTTAGCGATTAGAAGAGCTATTCTTAGGCTTATTTCACAGATTAGGAAAAGGGAACAGAGAAGGTCTCCGTGTAGTATCAAGTGATACTACAGATACTACAGAACTGTCCATTATCTAAGTGTCAGCCATTGTCCTCTGTGGAACATTGTTGTTTCAGGATGCTTTCTTTTTGCAATACAATATTGACTCACTAATAAAACTCTGTCAGGGCAAATTTGAAGTGTTTTCCTTGACATCCTCGTGATATAGAGGACAGTCTAATAAAGTGTAAGGTAGAGTCAACACCACTTGACAAACATCAAATAGTTTGTCAAAGTCCCAATCAGCAGAGCAGCGAGAGTTCAGGGACCATATGTTAGAAGCTTAGTGACCTGGAACGGTAAAGCCTGTGAGGCTTTTAGTTTTGCATTTGAAGACCTGGTTGCTGACATATCTGGGACCATGAACTAAGTCTTTTATCTTGTATTCTAGCTCCCTGTATCATAATGACAATTCTTTCTCTCTCTCTCTCTCTCTCTTTTTTTTTTGTTCTAATATAGTGGGATGCATCCTGCTTTTGTCCTGGAGTTCACCTCTTTGGCTCGGATTTACCTCAGGAACATTCGTCTTCAGTCTCCGATTTAACTAGAAATCAAGCATGAGGAGATTTGTCTACTGCAAGGTGGTCCTGGCCACATCGCTGATGTGGGTCCTGGTTGATGTCTTCTTACTTCTGTACTTCAGCGAGTGTAATAAATGCGATGACAAGAAGGAGAGGTCCCTGCTGCCTGCACTGAGGGGTGAGTGGTCATGGAGAAAGAAGTTCTGGTGAACAACAAAGCAGGAAAAGCTCAATAGATGAGATCTGCCTTACAGAGTTAGAGGAACATTTTAGCAGAGCTCTTCATGTATATTTAAAAGTGTGGAAGTTGTTATACACATGTAGCCATAAGTGTCTTTTTGGAAGAAATGACAGTAACTATCCAAACTCTAACATATCTTTCAGTTTCTACCATTCGAGTATCCTCTGATGACTTTTCAAGTATTATTTGAGGAATATTTAGGTTAGATAGAATTCCAAGTCTAGGCTCTAACAAGCCAATAATTTTTAAAGATCAAGCACATAACACAGAAAAGAAATACTAGAGCAAGACATGTGGGGACGGTAGACAATTGGAGATAGATTTGATAAGACAGCTGCATAATTTCTAAAGCAGCTGCTGTAAGAGCCAGTTGTTAAGTCAAAATGCATTAATGACCACATTCATTTTGTAGGCCATTAGAATGTTAGCTCCAGGTTACAGGCAAAAATAATTTTAGGAATATTATAAAGTCACTTTATCTAATATTTTCTTTTTTAAAGACCAGTTTCAAAGACTAGATAGCAACAAATTATAAACAAATATGACAGTGTATATTAAATGGTGATTTTTCAAGAAAGGCATGAGTTTAGGTGTCTGTAATTTTTTTATTCTGTTCTTTATGATATCAAAATCCAAAGTTTATGTATTTCTCAAAAATAATAAATGTGACTTACAATGTTCAAAATGTGCTCAAGATTGTTCTATGCCTTGAATTATAATGGATTCTATGCTTAATAATAATATTTATAATATATACATACAAAGTAAATGTTTACCTTTGAGTTTAAGATGAAATGTTTCAATCTATACATTTCTCTGTTATTTTTTCATTTTTACTTGATATATTATAATTTTAATTCAACAATTTAAAGATCTTTAGTCAAAATACTATGATAAATGCAATTTAATTGGCACTATTCAACTGGAGGAATTTTAGAAAGCATGGACTATTTCTGAAAATTAGTTTTAGTTCAGAGTGTTTTAGACATCTTTCTGAAATGATCTTTCTCACTTGGAAAGATTATAATTATCTTCCCCCTTTCAAAATGGGCCTGCCACTTTCGGTGTATGGATAGTTAATGTACATTTTCAGCCCTCATTCCACCATTATTCAGTGGGGAAGACTTTACGGGTCCACTTTTGATGAATGAACATGGAATGTATTTCCTGATCTTTGACGAAAACTCTAGAATCAGCTACTCAGCACCTTTGCTCGAGTCCTTGAACGGCTGCTTGAATGCAAGTGGACATGTTTTTGATGTATAGTATCGGTGCAGAATGCAAACTTTAGCATTTGTGCAGAGGAGACATCTAGTTTGGTCACAGAGAAATACTATAGCCCAACTCAGCCAAACAAGAGTGGTCTTTTCTACAAGTTCCCAAAGCATGCAGCTTTGCTGATTTATTCCTTTAGTTCAGTCTTCTAAATCTCCAAATGTGAAATAAGATGCTGCGAGGCAAAGAACTTTTTCTGGATCTTATTTTGGGAACATTGACTTATTCCGAAGACATGGTCATGGTCCCTTAGGACTTCCATAATAACACAGACAGACTGGGTGCTGCTTACTCAACGGGGACTTGTTTTTTTTTTATGGTTTCAGAAACTAGAAAGTCTAAAATCAAGGTATCTGTAAGGTCTCCAGCAAACTCAGGGCAAATAGCTAGCTGCGGAGCCAGGATTCTGACCTTCAGTCTCACTCTGCATCCCCAATACTTGTTGCAGAGTCCTGGTTCCTCAGGCATTTGTCCTGGGTTTCTTTGAGACCTATGAGTACCAAATGATGTGGCGTCTTGGGATACCTATTTTGTATAAAAGGCAGTCTTCCGGCTCACCTCACAAGGCTGGCAGTTGAAGCATACCTAGGAAAGATTTTTCATTTGCTGACATGGCTCTGAAGTTTTAATATGAAGTAAATATAGCATTAAGTAAAATCCTTAATAGTAAGTAAATTTTTAGAAAGCATAGTTCAAAATCAGCAATGATATTGAAGTGCTGTTAAAAAATCTGACTTGGAAAAAGGAAAGAACATGGGATTCTAAATAGGAAGAGGGATGTGATAAATGCTGAAGTAGAAGTGGGTAAAATAACAGGATTTCTGAAAATTCCATAAAGATTCATGCTATGAAGGATCCACATTAAAATAAAAAGCCAGAAAGCAAACTATAATACATGTAAGCCTTTGCATAGGTATGTGTAAATAGTTTAAACAAAAATTTATCTTCTGGGCTGACAATGTTTCTTCCAAGAGCCAAAGATCATTAGCAAAGTACCAACAGCAGGCATGAAATGCACTCTCTTGAGTTGTTGATGAGGGTTGTCCAGGAGACTCCCAAAACATTACAGGCTATTGCTTTGCTCTTGATTGACTCCCAAAGATGGAACGTAAGGCCATATTGCTAAAGAAACCATGCACTTCAGACCCAGGATCCAGGGTCCTTGTTTTGGAACTGACCTGACACCCTCCTACTTGAGGACTCGTTTTTATGGTACTACAAGGCTCCAAAGGAAGAAAACAACCAACAGTTCCCTCCAACTAAGATACATATGAGCCACAGCAATGACCAGGATGACATGATAAACCAATGGCTACTCTAGCAGCATCCATACCTTTGTAGCAGTTACTAACTCGCTAATTGGACTTAAGACCATTTCAGCTAGAAGGAAATTATGATTGGTACTGGAAACTTAGACTACTACCCAGGGCTAGTGACATCATGGGTTGGTGGAGAACCTACAAACAGCATAATCCTCTAACTACATTATAAATATTTGTTGTTATAGCCACAGATAAATGTGGGTCCCACCCTCTTCAAAGAAATTTCCCTTTACAACCAATGGGAACCATTATACAAAACCAGAGGGAAAAATATTGCAGAGTTCTCAAGACTTGTGCCATAGGATATATCTACAAAACATCTTCCACACTTATGACTCAGGGAACATTGTGGAAGGCAGAACATAAAAATTGTAAGACCTAAAGATCAGTGAGTTTGCTCTAATATGGTGTCTCCTACTAATGTTAAATAATACACTCATGAACTCTCAGCAACCTGGCTGCCTAAAGAAAAACCGAATGAGGACCACAGCACTAAGCATTATAAAGTGGATAGGGGAAAGACCAAGAGGTCTCAACCCTAGATAAAAACTACAGGCAATTAATGAATGCTGAGAGTAGATAAATAGTCTTTCTGAAAAAAGAGAATACCAATTGGTTATCTAACATAAAATGCTCAGCCCTAAAAGCAAAGATACAAGGAACACTGTACAGACTGAGGAGAATGTATTTCTATATTTAAGAATATATACGTACACACATATACAATTTTATGTAACAAAAATTAATGAAGGAAGACGGCATTGTTTGAAGAGATCAGGAAAATATATGGGATGGCTTAGAGAAAGGAAAGGGAAGGGGGAAATGATGTATTTATGTTAGAAGCTCAAAAAGTAAAAGAAAACACTAAAAAAAATGAAACAAATGATACACTTCTTTTATCCATTAAATACTGGGCTGTGCTCTGAGTCATGGACAAATTCAGTCAAATGGGCCATTGTCTTGAAGCCTCACACATTCTAGCCTCCTAAATTAAGGAACATTACAAAGTAGAAAGGTGTGACTGCTGAACAGAAAAGCTATTTTCACAATTGAAGGTCTTGAAGGCGAGGAGTTATCCTGCTGCATGAGAGTTGGGAGTGAAGTGACTGCAGAAGGAATAAAGTAATTTTCAAAAATAAAGATACATGAAATCTGTAAGTTAACTGATCCTAACTCAACCTGATGTAAAAAGAATTACTATATTCTACATTGAAAGCTAGGATAAAGAATAGAGTTTAAAAATTTTTGAGTGACTGGAAAGAAATCTTAGCATGTCCTTAGGTGCAGCGGTGTTACTGAAATTTGTTAGAAAGTGTATACTAATTATGCACAGACACTTAGAAGGATACAATCACATATAAACTGCAATAGTAGTGACAGTTTTATCTTGATTTACATAATTAGTGATTTAAGATTTTTCTGTTTATAAAATTATTCAAGTTAGATGGTAACTAATCGAATAATAACTCATTTAAGTTGTTCGAGTGCAAACTCTGTAAAATTTAATTTTGATATTTTAAAAACTAGTTTCTTAAGTTCTAATTCACCACAGTATGTGTGTATGTACCATATATGTACAATTTTATTAATAGGTTTACCTCTGTAAACTACTAAAATGCAATACTCATTTTTCTTTTTTATTTATTTAAAGTTTAATTACATTATTACCTAAGTCTTACTTATTCCATATCTACCTTCCACATTTCCTCTCAAAAATTCAAGGCCTCTTCTTTAACCCTTGTTGTTACATATAAGGGAATAGGCATAAAAATACAATCTGCTGAGTCTGTTCTTTGTTGCTTGCATGTGTGTATTTCCCAGACTAATCACTTGTTATTGGAAAATCAATCAGGAATTCATTCCTGGGGAAAAGCAATTCTCCTCTTTTAGTAGATATCAATTGCTTATAGCTTTTCACATAGGGGTGAGGTCCCATGTGATTTCTCCCATCTACATCAGGATGTTAATTTTTGAAATTGTTTGATTCTTGTTAGGCAGTCAAGTTGTTAGAATTTCATGAGTGTAGCTTTTCCATAGAAGGTACAGTCTCACAAAGGACTTCCTGATCCTCTGACTCTTAAAATCTCTATATCCCCTCTTCTAGAATGTGTTTTGAGTCTTAGGTGCAAGAGTTATCTTGCAGTTCTGTTGGGATGGGATTCCAGGGTTGCTTGCTCTCTGTGCTGTGACTAGTTGTGAATTTCTGTAATTGTCTCCTTCTACTACAAAAAGAAGCTTCTATAATGTGGGTGATAGCTTATGAGCCTAGGGAGCTTGTGAGTATAAGTGTTTAGAAGGCAGTAGGAAATCATACTGGTTTAGTGAAGTAGTAGCAGTAGA